CCTTGAGTGTGACAGGGGGCGGTGCCCCAACCCCCCAATCAGCCCTACCCTGAGTGTGACTGAGGGTGGCATCGCAACCTCCCCATCCGCCCTGCTCTGTGCATGACAGGGGCGGTGCCCCAATTCTCCAATCAGCCCTGCTCTGAGCCCGACCAGGGGCTGCACTTAGGGATTGGGCCTTCCCTCTGCCACCCGGGAGCCGGCCTAAGCCAGCAGGTCGTTATCTCCCGAGGGGTCCCAGACTACGAGAGGGCACAGGCCGGGCTGAGGGACCTCCCCTACCCCCCGAGTGCACAAATTTTTGTGCACCGGGCCTCTAGTCATAATAATATTTGTCTCATAGAATTTATATGATTATATATCAATGCATGGAAAATACCTGTAATACTGTATGCCCTATTGTAAGCAATACATAACTAGCTATTATTATATAATTCAAGTCCTTCATTTGCAAATGAAGGAAGAAAGATGCTGATGTTTTGAAAGGCATTAATGAGCAATGTAGAACAAATTTGAAATCAATCAATAGAGTTTAAGTTCAACTCCTCTCCTTACTGGCTATGTGGCTATGTGGATTTTTGTATCTCAAATGTTACCACACGTAACATAAGGGAAACAATATTATATTCTAGGAGTTTATTTGTGAATTATGTCTAAAATGATATTTTGAATTTATTTCAGATATTTTCCAATTTTACACAGGATTTTCTCTATGACCCAAGAAGAGAGATTTCTGTTTTTGTTTTGTTTTTTTCATTTTCAGATGGCTTTGTTATTGTTGTGGTTCTTACTATAATTACTTGCAGAGTGAGAAGAGAATGCATTCTGTCTTTTTTCTACATTTAGAATTTAATTAAATATTCCTTTTTGCCTAAAAATATTTCCAGTCCTTATAAATAATCAGTGGGTACTTGAAAGCAGATTGCATGCTATTCTTTTTTCAAGATACAGAGCTTGGTGTACACTATTGGCTGTTTATTAGTTATGTACTGTAGATATCCTAGGTATTTACTTATTTTGTCTCCTTAATTTTCATGAGTGGAAAGACAAGACTAATGAATTTATCTTCCCCTCACCCTGTATATTCTCTCTAGTTTGATTTATGCCTATTAAGGCTGTAACATTATGGACTGAAACTTAAAACAAAAATATATGCTTTTCCAATTTGTCTAATATTTTGTGGCCTGACTTAACGTTTGCCTGATAAAATATCTCAATCCTAGATTTCTTTATGTATGTATTTTTGTAAACTGACATTCTGGTTTTTCATTTTCTAAATTAGGTTGTCTAAGGTGTATTTCTCATAGACCCTTACTTTGGGAAAACAAATAAGAGAGTCATTTGTTGTGTGGCAATCATGTTAGGTTTTATTTCCAGCATATTGTATTTTTATCTAGGTTTTTATTTTCCTGCCGAAGCATTATAATTCTGTTCAAATGTTTAGTGTTATCACTTAAATGTTATGGAAATATATGTAAATTGTTTATTTTCTTTCTTTAGATAATGTCCCTTCCTACCTGAGAATTGATAAATATTAATATACCTCTCTTTCTTTTCTGCTTTTCTCCTTTGATGTCATCTGATTTTAGTCAATGTTATTAATTGCCTTAGTGTACACAGTTGTATAGTTAAATATGCATCTATTTCTTACATGTTAACTTTTATGGTGTATTTTTACTTTAGCTACTAAAGATTAGGGAATTTGTGAACATACTTTTCTTTTGCCTTATTTCTCTCTCTTCCCTCTCATTTTCTATTTTGCCATTCCAAAAATTCCAGTCAATAAAATATTTATATTCTATTTTGAAACACTTATACCCACATTTCTTTCAATTATTGATATAGTTGAAATGATTCAATGCTCTCTAACTGCAGTTAGAATTGTCAATTTTAGGAAATAAAAGACACCCACTTAAATTAAAATTTCAAATAAATACAGAATTTATTTTCTTTAATATAGGAATTTTCATAACATTTTGAATATTAGGAACCTTGCACTTTATATGTTAACCCTAAACAGAGTTCTTTGCCAATGGGAAGTGTAGTGGAGGTATGATTAATTACCCTTTTTGTCTTTTATTAGATAGGATATAGATAGATAGTTTTCCATTGTATAAATGTATGGAGCCATAAAAGACCCCAAATATCCACAGCAAAGAAAAACAAAGAAAAATGATTTTGGTGATACCAAACTATATCACAAAGCCATTAAAATAAAAACAGCCTGGTACTGGCATAAGACTAGGCCTATAGATCAATGGAACAGAACAGAAATTACAGAAATCACCCCAAGTGCCCATCAGTAGATGACTGCATTAAAAAGCTGTGGTACGTTTAGAAAAGTTTTTAGTCTTTTATAGAGAACTATAATCCATTGAAAATGCTGAAAGACTCCTCAAGAAATATGATGCCAGCCCTGACCGGTTTGGCTCAGTGGATAGAGCGTCAGCCTGCAGACTGGGTGGTCCCGGGTTCGATTCTGGCCAAGTGTGTGTGCCTTGGTTGCAGGCACGTCCCCAGTGGGGAGTTTTCACGAGGCAGCTAATCGATGTTTCTGACTCTCTGTCCCTCTCCCTTCCTCTCTGTAAAAACTCAATAAAATATATTTTTTTTAAAAAAGAAGTATGATGCCAGGTCTCAGGGGGAAGGTGAGGCTGGGTGGATGTGTGGGAAGAAATCAACCAAAGAACTTGTATGCATATATGCATGACCCATGGACACAGACAATAGGGTGGTGAAGGCCTGGGGGGTGGGGATGGCTGGGACAGGCTATAACCGGTCAGTGGGAGGAAAAGGGGGAAATATGTAAATACTTTCAACAATAAAGATATTTTTTTTTAAAAAAAGAAAGAAGTATAATGCCCAAATAACTGTGGATTTTTAAAAGTACCTACAAGACATATAGAAGTATAGCAAAAGTATGTTCATTTTTTGTATTATGCAGTCATATTATTTATAAATGTAAAAATTAAAAACAATAGGAGTTGTAAATATCTATTGAAGTTAAGCTAGAATAAAATATAAAAATATTTTATAAAATGTAGGAATATGTTGATTTATATTTGAATTATATATACTTTTGGTCACCATAGAAATGCAAAGAGGAACACCACATACGATAATATAAAATGGAAGAAACTAAAAAGGTATTATGCTTTGAAAGAGAATTTGATGTGTAGGATGAATGACAGGTTAGAATTTTCAACAAGATTATCTGAAAGTTGATATGCAGGCACCCCCTTAGTAATATTTTTGGGAGCTTAGTTCAGGCAGTTATAAATTTTTCAATCAAAGGGTAAAAATTAATGCGTGGGACAGTTTGATGTGTTTTTTCGGGAGGCCATCTAGTATGCACTACCTGTTCTCAGGATCAAATTATTTGTAGCATTACAATGAAATCTTGTAAGAACCCTGAGTGCCAGTCCTTCCAATTTTCTATGTTCAAATGCCATTTTTATTTTATTACAAATTATGGTTTGTAATTATGGCTATAAGCACTTCTCAGATACATCTATTCTTTAGAATTTTCAAATAAAGTTTTCAAGGTTCAGTAAAGCAAAAAGTTACCTGAAAAAAATTTTCTTTAGTTGATCAATGGTCCACCAGGTAAACAGATTTACTTATGTGGAATTTGCTCCAAGAATGAGCCACTAGAGAATGTTTAGGCAAGAAATGAGGCTTGTCTCTGATTTCCAATAAAAATTTGAGTTGAAACAGTGTGTGTTCACTTAATCTTGTTAAATGTAGCACAAAACACTAAGTGTATCAGAGCGTGTATTTAAATGATAACAAACCCTGCTGTTAAAGTTAATAGGAAACAGTTCTTTTCTCACTGAGTTTTCACATCAAGCATACCTTTAGATATTATAATTTACTACAATATGTTTTTGAGAAGAATTTTTTAAAATCTTCATTGTTGAAAGTATTAAGTCTCCTTTTCTCCCCCATTGAACTCTTCTAGACACCCCCCCACACACTCCTGCCCAAGGCCATCACCATTCTATTTTGAGATGAATTTTTAAGCCTTTGTCTTCCTTTATTTCTAAGCAACAGTTTCTTGTGGAAATAAAGTGAGGACAACACTGCTCAAAAGAATTACTACTAATGCAAAGTGCACAAATATTTAAACCTAATTAAAGAATAATGATTGAAAACTAATAATTGAATTTAGTGATGATGATGATAATAATAGGCATTAAAATATTGAGACTAACTTTTTCTATTAAGAATTATTTCCTACATTTAAATTAATTGTTGTACCTAAACCAGGTTATGCCTCAATTAAAAAAAGAAAAAACAAAGAGCTTTGCTCCTATGTGCATCCCTGATTGAGTTGGGCTTGCTTTGGGGAATTAGGGAGTCAAGGAGGGCAGTCCTAAAGAGGAGTAGAAGATTTCTTAAATTCTTCATCTTTTTCTCTGGGAGGGTTAGGTTCACTCTGCCTTAAGGCAGGGTAATGACCTCTCAGGATTCTTTCCAGCTTCAAGCACCTGTGAAGTAAAAGCATTTATAAAAGCGTTAGAACACTTCTTGAGTTATAAAAGATGAAGAGTCCCTAAAGCATTTTCTACACTGAAGAACCAATATTGTTTATTACCTCTCTGTTAAATTTAACAAGAACAATGTCAGGCAAAGGACTGAGAAGTTTGTTTCTAAACTTTGATTAGAACTAATGGAAATGGCTATATTCTCCCAAGCATCAGCGAGATACATATCCAAGGTTTAAAAGCTTGTTATGAAACTACCATCATTGATTCTTCTTCATGGTTATTAAAGAGTAAAATACTACATGTCTGTTTTCTTAAATTTAATTCTAATTTATTTGATCAATAAAAGTTGGCTACTTATAACCAACTTACTACATCATTTTGGTGGTTTACCCCTACTAATAACAAGAGCTGTATTTTATTGTTCCCTGATCAGGCAGTTTTTTACTATATCAGCTAACATTTACTAATCAAGTAAAAGCAAGCCTCCAAAAGACTCTCAATTTGGGGAACACAAATGAAAGCTGAACTGAATTTACATAGAGCAATTATGATGTGCCTGACTGTAAAGTATTAGAAACAAACCAATTCTATTTTTATATTACTGCATTGGAGTACAGGAGCTGAATAAATAGTAAAATCTAAGATAAACTACACAACTTCCAGTGTAAATTATTAATCATAGCTATGTTACTATGTTTCAGGCACAATTTCATTTGATTTATTTTTATAACTAGTTTAATCCTCAAACCATGTTGCTGGCTGGCCAATCTCCCGCATTCCTTCCTGGCTGGATTCATGCACTAGTGGGGTCCCTTGGCCTGACCTCTGTGCTGCCACAACCCGGCCTTACTCACCAGCTTGTTGGGCTCCAGCCCGCTGTCTGTGTCAATCCTGCACAGCACGAAGTAGTGCATGAAGCAGCAGGTGGCCAGGGAGGAGCCCAAGCCTGGGCTGGGCTCCTGCTCATCCCAGCCTTGCTGCACCTGCTCAGGTGCACAGAGGGAGTGTCTGAGGGAGAGGCTCATGTTGTCACAACTGCGCTCACCAGCTGTGAGCCCAATATCTGGTACACATCTGTCAGCTGAGCAGAGCTTCCGCTGTGGGAGCGCACTGACCATCAGGGGGGCAGCTCCTGTGTTGAGCATCTGCCTCCTGGTGAACAGTGTGCATCATAGCTACCGGCCTGTCATCCAGTCACTCAGGCTTTTATTATATAGATATATGACATATCTTATCTAATAAAAGAGAAACATGCAAATTGTACCTCTGCTACACTCACAAGCCACGTCCACCATCCATGCCCACAAGCCAATCAGGAGTGAGTATGCAAATAAACCCAACCAAGATGGAGACAGCCACAGATCTGGAGAGAAGAGGAGGCTTGCATTGCCCCTGGTGATGGAGGAAGCCAAGCTTCCCGCCTGCCTTGGCTGGCTGTGGGATCCGCTCAAGGCTACAAAGTTTCAATTATAGAAGATAAATAAATGCCAGATACCTGCTTCCAGCTGCTGTGGCCTCTGCTCAAGGAGGGTCTGGGAGCCTGGGTTGACTGGGGCTGTGGCCAGCCTGAAAACAGCCTTTAGCCCCTCACCCAGGCTGGCCATACCCTCATGGGGTGAGGGTCCCTGCTGGGGGGTTTGGCCAGCCTGCAAACAGCCATCAGCTCCTCATACAGGCTGTCCAGGCACCCAGCAGGGACCCACACCCTTAAGGGGGTGTGGCCAGATTGAAAATAGCCCTCAGCCCCACACCCAGGCTGGCCATGTCCCCCAGCTGGGAGCCTCACCCCATGGGGGTGTGGCCGACCTGCAAACCATCACAGGCCCCTCGCCCAGGCCACCTCATGCCCCAAGGGAACTGCCACCCTGATCCGGGACACCCTTCAGGGCAAACCAGCCAGCCCCCACCCGTGCACCAGGCCTCTATCTATACTAATAAAAGGGTAATATGCTAATTAGACTGGGAGACCTTCCAGGAGACCTTCCGGACGTTCTTCTGGACAAAGCCATGGTGGCGGGGCTGAGGTAGAGGCGGTTAGAGGCCAAGAGGGGAGGGCAGTTGTGGGTGATCAGTTTGGTGGGGGCTGGGGCCATTAGGGGTAAGCAGACCATCAAGGGGGCCAATTGGGGGCAAACAGGCCATCAGTGGGGGTCAGTTGGGGGTGATCAGGACAGTGGGGGGCAGTTTGGAGTAAGCAGACCAAGAGGGCGGCAGTTGTGGGTAATCAGGCTGGCAGGGGGGCATTTGGGGGCAAGCAGGCTGGTGGTGCAGGGCAGTTGGGGGCAAGTAGTCCAGGCCAAGAGGGGAGGGCAGTTGTGGGTGATCAGTTTGGTGGGGGCTGGGGCCATTAGGGGTAAGCAGACCATCAAGGGGGCCAATTGGGGGCAAACAGGCCATCAGTGGGGGTCAGTTGGGGGTGATCAGGACAGTGGGGGGCAGTTTGGAGTAAGCAGACCAAGAGGGGGGCAGTTGTGGGTAATCAGGCTGGCAGGGGGGCATTTGGGGGCAAGCAGGCTGGTGGTGCAGGGCAGTTGGGGGCAAGTAGTCCAACAGGCAGAGCGGTTAGGGGCAATCAGGCAGGCAGGCAGGTGAGTGGTTAGGAGCCAGCAGTCCCAGATTGGGAGAGGGATGTCTGACTGCCGGCAGTCAGACATCCCCCGAGGGGTCTGGGATTGTGAGAGTGCACAGGTCGAGCTGAGGGACCCCCCAACACACACACGAATGTTGTGCACTGGGCCTCTAGTGTTTACATTAGGCCCAATCCCTGTAAACTGGCAGTAGGACATCCTTCGAGGGATTCCCGATTGGAGAGTGTACCTGGACATTTGTACACAAGGACCAAACTTCATGTCCTATAGGATCTCCATTCTGATGAGTGCACCATAGCACATGAACAACCCGTTTCCAAACCTTTAGATTTAACTGAGTTCTGCCTGTCGGCTCAAACCAATAACAATGCCTTCTTATTTCTCTAGCTAATTTCCTAAAAGTGGCTTGAGACACACTAACCCCAGTGCTTTTAAGCACTGAACGCAGCAGAGTCATATATTGACTCTCTGCCACTGGGGAGTTCCCCATTGCTCTGCCTGGCTTGCCAAAAGTCTTGGGTAAACAGTTGCAGACTTTTTCCCTTTTGGTCCTTTGCATTCCCCGCACTTACTTTAAGGGCCCCATGGTGGGTACCAAGTGTTGAGGGATGTTTAATGAACCAAAGATGCAGAGGTAAGAGGAGCACACAGGATGATTGATGCCAGACAGAGGGCTACAGCTCACTCAGGCATGTAGCAAATTCTGCACTCTCACCATTGCTTTTATTGGGATTTGGTACAAGGTTAGTGCGTCAGCAGTTAACTACATCTTGTTTTGTTCTATATTATTACAATAGCGTATTGAAGACAACTTCCAGCTGTTCCTTCCCTTTCTGCTCTACACCCATGACTAATCTTAGCCTTTCTCAGGGAGGTAAATGTTCCTGGAACTCAAGATTGTGTGCAATCTTGACCCAGTGTGAGTCGCATGCAAGTCATGCTGTGCTTCTGATAGAACATTCATTTCTTCTTGGAAGGACTTCAGATCCTTGTTTACAAATGTCCAGCTACAGAGAGGAACTCTGTAGGGCTAGAGGAACACCCCCTCCCCCATGCATGAATTTCATGCACCGGGTGACTAGTACATATATAAGACATTAAAAAAATATTCTTTATGATTTACTGGCCATGAAATTATTTATAAAAGAAGCAGTAGCTAATTTGAGCCTTAAAAATGTGTATATTTGTGACAGTAGAATGGGCAAGAAGGAAACTCAGATCACAGGGAACCATGTATAAAAGCTTGAGGAAGAACAAGTAGTATGGTTCAGTAAAAACCCAAGTAGGGGAATAGAATAGTAGGAAATAATTTTCAATGCAAGTTAATTTACATGCAGTTATGCCTAACTTTAGAACTTAAAACAAGTGTTTTAAGCTTTATGTGATAAGCAGGAGGATGCACTCAGTTTTTAGTGTTAAGTGGTATCTGAGTGATACCAGTGAAGATCAGCTATGGTTATGAAACATCTCAGGACTGGTTTGCAGTGGAGTGGGGGGAGAGTAACTTTGTGCAATCCAGCTTTTTCCTAAAAGATGTTACAGTCAGAAAATAAATAAAAGAAGTTGATATGAATTATGTGTGAGGATGTAAGCCCCAGTATAAGGTAAGCATTCTGTGGGCAGAGACATTACTAATTTCACCAACTTTTATATCTTCATTCCCTAATCCCATAACAAGTACTAATACGCCTTAGCTACTAGTAAATGAATGACCGAGATGGTCAAGAGTGTTGAGCATTGGTTAAATAAACACATATACAAGAGGGGTATTTATAGGTTAGCAGTTCAGGTGATCAGACGTAAGATAAAAGTGGACAAAACAAGTAGATTCAGTGTAATGTTTAGAAAAGAAGCAATGAAAAGACAAGTTAAAAAATAACCAATCTGATCAGATAGTTGTCAAGCAGCATTATGTCAGGCACATAATGGGCACTCAAGAAATACTGCCTGAATGAAGGAATAATATGAAACTTAGTCCAAAAAACAGCAATAACATTGTTAACTGTAGCTTAAGAAGATTATACGGTTAAAGTAGTAGATGAATTGTATATGGCAGAAGAGACCATAGACAATGAAAGTATTTAGGGGTTTATTGAGGATCTCAGGAGTGATTGGGAGGGTAGAACCCATGGGATTTGACCACTAATTGGATGTAATGATGAGAGCATGATAAAGATCAAAGACTCAATCATACTATACTGATGCCATCAACTAAATAAGAAAAACCATCTTTCTGGGACAGAAGTGGATTCTGTTTTTAATATGCTGTGCTGAGGCTGTTGTGGGACATCCACAGATAAATTACATGTGAGAAACATAAGATTTAAATTCAGGAGTGACAATTCAGAGCTTGTGGTATAGATTTGGAGGTCATTAGTATAAGGCCTATATAAAACCCATGCAAACAAGTGAGATCATTAAGGAATAATGATATAGAATGTAGAATGAAAAAACAACTAAAAAACTAATTCTGAGTAATTTGTACATTGAAGGAACAGTAAAACAAGGAGGAGACAGAAAAATAATGGCTAGAGAGACAACATAATTGGAATAACTTGTGTCCAAAAATCTCAAGATATTTTCAAGAAAAAAAATACATGATTTATCCTCATCTCACATTTTTTTTTCACTTTCTATGTGCATTGTTTCATTTAATCTTCAAAAGAACCTATTATTATCTGAAGCTGATAAGGGAATTGATTGAAATTAAAATTTTGTTTTTTTATGACTCTGGATCTCAAATTCATAAAGGTGCATGCTTCTAAAGCTTAACAAAATGCAGACTGAGAATGGATGTCTGGATTTAGCAAATGTGATATCAGTGGTATCCTTTGAGAAAGCATGTTGTATAGAGAAGTGGGAAATGGAATTTGAATGCAAGTAGTTAGAGTCATTGGGTGGTGAGGAAGTAGAGACAATTATTAACACTAGCACACACAATTTTTATAGATTTAAAAAGACATTTCCAATCACCTATAAATAGAAAGAAGAGGGAGAGATGTGTTAGAAACCTTAAGAGAAAATTGATAGGCCTCAATATTGGAAGTACTTAAGATATTAATGAATTTCATGAACCTTCACTTATGAATATATTACAGCAAGAATGAATAATCGTCAGATTAAAAAACTTGTCTTAAAATGAACAAAAATAGATTTGTACTTATCACTAAGTTCTTGGCTCATTTCAATCAGATATATAAAAAGAAACTAAGGTACAGTCATTTTACTCAGACTTGTCTATTCATTCCCACATGAATTAATTATAGGCTTTAGATACAATTAGACTTTTAACATTCACATGCTTGTTGGAAATATTAAGATTATGGAAAAATAAATAAATGGCTCCTTGGGTAGTCTTTTGTATTGCCATTATTGTTGTTCATTTATTTCTCAGTTCAACCACACCAAATATTCAATTTGTTCAATTGAAGGCTTTAATAGTCTGTATTTACTTCACAGAAATTTTATCAAAAAGAAAACAATGCTTAGTTAAAACATCTTTTTAGAGGCATGGATTATCCACACCATCATTAGACTTGCATGAATTTGAAGACATCAGATAATGCTGTTGTTCGATTTTTAGTGCTCATAATGGATTAGAGTCAAGTTGCATTTTTACATAGTATATTTCTATATTGAGGCATTTCTCTAAGGAACGATGGTAGTACCTGGATTGGAGGCCTGGATTTTAGCTTTGGTTTCACCAGCATGTGTTTGGGAAGTCTTTAATTATTTAGCTATTGCAGCTATTGTATAACTCTCCAATTGTGTTGTCCAAGAGGCAATGAATGTAGTTGCTAGGAGACAGACTCTGGAATAAGACTCCTTGTTTTAAATCCCAACTCTACTCTGGGTAAACTGGGTATAATAAAAATACCAACTTAATAAGACTATATGAGACTCAAACAAGCTCATAAATATAACAGACTTATGGTACATGTGAGTACTATAAATAACCAACTATTAACTATTATTATTATAATTCATAACTAGCTAAATTCTGATACCATTTTAAACATTTATAGAAGTTAACAGTCTAACTTTATATGTG